GTCAGACGCTTAACCAACTGAGCCACGCAGGCACCCCTGCCCATTTTTTATTGGATTGGTTTTTTTTTAACTATTGAGTTTTATGAGTTCTTCATATACTCTAGATGGAAGTCCTTTGTCAGATATATGGTTTGCAAGTATTTTCTCCTAGACTGTCAATTGTCTTTTCATCTTGACAGGGTTTTAAAAGAGCAAAAATTTTTATTTTGATGAGGTGCAATTGATCGATTTTTGTCTTTTATGGATTGTACATTTGTTAAGTCTATGAACTCTGCCTAGTCCTAGATCCCAAAGATTCTTCCCCTTTTTTTTTCTAGCAGCTTAATGTTTTACATTTAACTCTGTGATCCATTTTGAGTTGATTTTTGTAGGTGTGAGGTTTGGTTTTTTGCCAATATATATCTAAGTATTCCAGCACCACTTGTTGAAAGGCTATCCTTCCTCCATTGTGTTGCTTTTGTATCTTTGTCAAAAATCAGTTGAGGATATTGTGCGGGTTTTTTTCTAGGTTCTCTGTTCTGTTCCATTCATCTATGTGTCTATTTTTCTGCCAATATCACACATTCTTGGCTACTGTAGCCAAGTCTTGGAATCTGGTAGACTGATTCCTCCCATTTCACCCTTTTTTTTCAAAATGGATTTAGTTATTCTAAATCCTTTGCCTTTCCATATAAATTTTAGAATAAGCTTGTCTATGCCTACAAAAATGTTTGCCGTGCTTCTGATAGGAATTGCACTGAACCTATGGATCCATTTTGAAAGAACTGACATCTTTATAGTGTGGAATCTTCCAATCCATGAACATGCTATATCTATTTATTTCGGTCTTCTTTATTTCCTCTGCATTATAAATGGCATTGTGTTTTAATTTTGAATTCAACATGTTCATTATTGGTATACAGAAATACTATTGATTTTAATGTGTGTACGTGTTGATCTTGAATACTGCAACCTTACTGAATTCACTTATTAGTTCAGGATCTTTTTTTTTTATTCCATAGGATTTTCTATGTGGACAATGATGTCATCTGAGAGTAGGGACAGTTTTGTTTATTCCTTTCAATCTATATGCTTTTTATTTATTTTTCTTGCCTTATTGCACTTGCTAGAAGTTCTAGTACTACATTGAATAACAGTAGAGAGGGTAGATGTCCTTGTCTTTTCCCAATCTTAGGAAAAAGCACTCTTTCACCATTAAGTGTGATGTTAGCTGGCGGTTTTTTTGTAGATTTCTTGTAGATACTTTTTAGTTTAAAGTTGAGGAATTTCCCCTCTTCATGAGAGTTTTTATTATGAATGAGTGCTGGATTTTGTCAAATGCTCTTTTCTACATCAACTGAATGATCACATAATTTTTTAATGCAACTTATATGTGGATCATATTGATTTTTAAAAAAATATTGAACCAGCCTGGGGCACCTGGGTGGCTCAGTCGATTAAGCATGTGACTCTTGATTTTGGTTCAGGTCATAATCTCAGGGTCATGAGATGGAGCCTGGTGTCAGGCTCCACACTCAGTGGGGAATCTGCTTGAGATTCTCTTCCTCTCTCTCTGTCGCTCCCCCCACTCATGCTCGCTCTCTCTTAAATAAATAAATAAATAAATAATTATATATATAAATAAATTAAACAAACTTTAAAAAAAAATATTGAACCAGTCATGTATACCTAGAATAAATACCACTTGGTTGTGGTGTAGAATTCTTTCTAAAGACTGCAGGCTTTGACTTATTGATATTTTGTTGAAGATTTTTGTATCCAAGTTCATGAGAAATACTGATCTAGTTTTCTTTTTTCGTACTGTCTTTTTCTGGTTTTGGTATCAGTGTAATACTGGCTTCATAAATTGAGTTGGGAATTGTTCCTCTTTTATTTTCTGGAAGAGAGTGTGTAAAATTATTAATTATTCTTTAAATGTTTGGTAGAATGCTCCACTGAAACCATCTGAGTTGAGACATGTCTTTTTCAAGAAATTTAAAATTATGGATCCAATTTGTTTTATGGCTATGGGATTATTCACATTGTTTATTTCATCTTGGGTGAGCTTTAGTAGTTTGTGGTTCTCGAGGAAATGGATCGTTTCTTCTAAGTTGTCAAATTTATTAGTGTAAAGTTGTTACAGTAGTCCCTTATTATTTTAATGGCTGTAGAATCTATAGTGATATCCCATTTCATTCCTGATACTGGTGTCTTGACTTGACTTGTCTTGACTCCAAGATTTGTGTCTTGATTCTTCATCTTTGTCAGTCTTGCTAGATGTTTACTAATTTTATTGATTTTTTCCAAGAGCCAATTTTTTTCATTAATTTTCTTTTTTCTGTTTTCAGTTTTATTCATTTCTGCTCTTTTTTATTATTTCCTTCCTTCCATTTGATTTAGGTTTTTTGCTCTTTTTCTAGTTGCTTGAAGTAGGAACTTATTCATTTGAGATTTTCCTTTTTTTCTAAGATAGCCCTTAATGCTATAAAGTTCTGTCCCAATACTATGTTAGCTACAGCCACAAATTCCAAACTGTTATCTAATCATGATATTTATAACAGAGTAATGTACTTGTTTTCTTCTATTTCTTGTTTCACTTGTCTTTCCTTCTTTTGGGTTACTTGAACATTTTTTAGAATTCCTTTATGACATTAAAAATTTTTTTGTATATCACTTTGTAGAGTGTTCTTAGTGGTTGCATAAATATACATATGTAATTTTTCAGTCTACTGGTATAGATGCTTTACCCCTTTGAGTGATGTGAAGAAACTTTACTTCCATTTTGGTCCCTTTATCCTCCTTACTTCTTAACTATAATTATCTTAAGCATTATCTCTAAGTATACCGAACCCCACATCAGATGGTGTAATCATTTTTGCAAGCATCAAGTATCATTTGAGAAACTCATAAGAAGCCTAGTCTTTTACTTTTTAGGCATTCCATAGTATTCTTTCCTTTCTGAAGTTCTAAGTTTTCTTCTGTTATTATTTCCCTTCTGTTTGGAGAACTTCCTTTAGCCATTCTTTAAGGGTAGATGTGCTAGTGACAAATTCTCTTAGTATTCCTTCATCTGACAAAATTGTTATTTCTTCTTCCTCCCTGAAATATATTTTCTCCCGGTATAGGACTTGTGATTTATAGTCCTCTTCTTTCAGCATTTGAGAAATAGGCCACTTTCTTCCGGCCTCCATGGTTTCTGATAAAAAATCTGCTGTCTTTTGAATCAGTGTTCCCTATAAATAATCCCTCCCTTCTCCCTGTATGCTTTCAAGATTTTTTTCTGTTCTTGGTTTTCAGAAGTTTAATTATGATATGTCTTGGTGTGGATTTCTTTGGGTTCCTCCTATAGGGGATTCACTCAGCTTCTTGAATCTGTAACTTTATATTTTTTGTCAAATGGGAGAAATTTTCAGCAGTTAGTTCTTCAAACCCAGGTGGCTTTTAAGCATATTTTATATTTGAGAAGCTTTGCTCTAGAGTGGGTTTCAGGGGTCCAAGAACCCCTCAAGTTGTATATAAAATGCTGTGAATGTCCATGTTTCTTAGGAGAATGTCTGCAGCTTTCACTAGATTCTCAAGAGTTCCATGACACACCCCATAAATTTTATGAAAGGATTGGTTTATTGCCATATTGATTAAAAACAATAAAAACTACTTAGTATCATTTCTTCCCTTCTACCATATCTGTTGCATTCCCATTTCCCAAAGATTTCCCCCACAATTTTGGAAAATATGATCACTCAGGTGAATATTTTCTGAGGGCCTAATATGTGCCAGCCACATTTTTTTTTCATTTTTCCCCTAGTCAGTGAGAAAAGAGTTAAAAAAAATAAAGCCATTTTTAGGTTTTGGAAAGTTCTTCATAACTAAGAATTAAGAGTAAACTTTGCTGTTTTCATATCTTGTGACTTTACCCTTTAAAATCTATTCCTTACTGCTCTGAGCTGGATATGACAGTGATCACATTACATCCTGAAAGTATAATTTCATAGACTAAAGACATGCCATTATGCAGTGGACCCATTCATCATCACCACTCGGGTTTGCTTCATGTAGCCAAGCACTCCTAGTTCCCCTAAGCAGACTTGTCCCCGGACAGTTGCACAAACAGATTCCTCTGCCTAGTATAGCCTCACCCCCTTTGCCACCCACTTTCCTGAACTAACTCCTGCTTATCTTTTGGAACACAGTTTGAGAAGCACCACCTCTGGGAAGTTGGGTGTGCCTCCAATGTTACCCCTGCTTGTCACATGCCACACTGGGTGCTGATTACCTAACTTTCACTCCCATCAGACTCTGTGACCCTTGAAAACTGTGACTGGGTCTTACTTGCTTTTGTGCCCCCAGTACTTAGATAACTGTAACCAGACATGTACTCAAGTGCTGCCTCCACTCAGAGTTCACTACCACCAGCTGACCAGCTGCTCCTTTCCTCCATTTCTTCATTAATGTCAGAAGTATCTGTTGAACTTCTTCATGCACAGGTGTGGCAACCAGATGTTCAGCCCTTCACCAGCAGGTTTGATTTTTGCTAAATTTGCACAGCATCTATTAATTCACTTTAGACTTTCTCCAAGGATCAACATATAAAAGTTTTGGCTTCCTTTTGCTAGAATGCCTGTCTCCCCATTTTTGGACAATATGGACAATGCTGACCACTGCCATTTTTACTTACTCCTGGATCTTACGAATTCCTTAATATTGTGTTTACATTTACAGATCTATCTTTTCTATCAGGCCATGAGCTCCTTGGGGGCAGGGACTCTGTCTTATTTATCCCAGAATTTCCAAGGCTTGGTGCACGGTAGGATTCCAGAAATGTTTGTGGAATGAAACTTGATGCTAGATCATCACAGCTATACTATTCCTCACGATTAGCACACACACTTCTACATCTTCTCCACATCTTTACTTCCTATTTGCCTTTTATCCTTCATTCTAAGCACGGTGAATTCTTTTTGGAAAGGAGAAATGGGTAGATAAATACAACACATTTTAAAGTAATTTTCTTATTCCCCCAGGTACTATCTTGGTCGCCGGATGTTTATTGTTATCTCTGAGCCAGACATGATCGAGCAGGTGTTGGTTGAGAACTTCCATAACTTTACCAACAGAATGGTATGTTGTTTTCTCTCTGCGTATGGATGAATGGGGAATCATTTCGAAGATTCAAAGACTGCACATCACATCTAATAGGGACACGAATGGGTCTCTTACCAGGTTTAGATCAGTTCCACTCAAAACAGCTCTCCAATGAATTCAGGTTTTCAAAAGAGACATGCAGGACTGGTAGAAAAGAATGGCATTTGCATTTAAGAAACACTTCAAGAAAGCTAAAACTCAAGAGAAGTTCTGGCTAATAAAAATGCTAAAACCAGAAGGGTTTTTTTTAAAGCTTGTGCTCAAAGCTAGAGGAATCCAGAGGGTGCAGGTCAAGTGACTGAAGAAGACAGAGGAAGGTTAATAAATATCAGAGGGAAGGCAAAATTTCAAGCCTCTTGTGCTTACATCTTTCTCAGAGCCTATAAAAGTCTTAAGGCTGGAAAGGGAAGACAAGCAACATTACAAGGGAAATTCGTCCTCTTGTAGCAGGAGAAGGCTGTAAGAGGGCTACGCGATGTCAGTTCAATCCAATCCACTAAAGAACGTGCACATTCCATCTTTTTTAGAAAGTACATATCCTACTTTCTATCTTTCACAAGAACTCCCAAAGAATGAAAGAGGTGACTGATAGAGGCAGACATCAGTGTTGTCCCTATTTTACAGAGATGGGAAGGATTGGAATTCTAGCAGAGAAGACCAATAACCTTTATGTTGATTCTTGGAAAGGTTCTAAAGTGAATTAATAAGCATTTGCTTATGAGAATTCAGAGAATCACAACTTTTGCGGGGGAGGGGGGCAAATTGAACTCAACTTCCATTCTTATGGGAATAGTAGGTAATATATCCACTTTTCTTGGTTATTTGGCAAACTTTTGCACACCCACCATATGCCAGGCACTGTCTAGGTGCTGATTTTAAAGAGATAGAAGATGTGGGCTTGCCCTGAAAGAGCTTGCAGTCTAGTGACAGTGGCAGACGGGCAAAGAGACCAGTACAGTATGGTCTGGTACTTGTGCTATAGTGGGAATCGCTGTGCCATCTGGGATGGGACCAGGGGAAGGCTTATTAGATAGATCTCTGGGGCTGAGTCTTAAAGATATTAGCATAGCTCTCCTGGGTTCCGTGCTGGCTGAACCACCCAGAGTGGTTTTTTCTCATTAAATTTCATGAAAACTTAGGAGATTGGTACAATCTCTATTTTCCGGACAGGGAAACTAAGACTCAGGGGTTAAGTGACAACCCTGGTCACATGACTAACAGGAGGAAGAGCAGGGTTTCCCGTGCCACCTCCCAACTCAAGTCCTTACCACCACCACTATTAACAGCTGCCTCGGGTGACATTTCTGATCATCAAGGTTTCACGAGTAGTTGGTTGCTCACCCCAAACGAGCTCATCTTCTGTCCCCAGAGTGTCAGGCCCAATGCCAGACACCACATGGCCACTAGAAGGAGGTGACCGCCTGACCTGTTAATGCTGTCACCTCAGGGTGGCTGAAGGAATTGCAGAAGCTTAACTTCTCTGCTGCCTCTAGATGTTCCTCCCCAAATGTGATGTTGCTTCTCTGCCGTTCAGAGTCCCCTGAAGTTCTCACGTGCTGCCGGGATCTTAGGGACGGAGTCTCATGTAGCACGCAGCTCTGGCAGACTCAGTAAGGAAGGTCAATTAAAGAAATGGGGGAAGTCAGTGCATCACAGGGCCCGGACCCCCAAGCTGCGTCCCAGCAGGCGAAGGCACCTGAGCCCTCCCCGCCCCCCAGCAGTGACATGGGACGTGGCAGCCGTGTGACGTCAGGATGTCACCAGGGCACAAGACCCCGAGAGCTGACCTGGAAGACGGCTGTGCTCTAAGTGATGTGCTGGGGGGCAGGCATACACTCAGCATGCAGGTTTAAGCAGGGAGCACAAAACAAAGCTGCCTCAGCTTCAGCCAATTTCTCCTCCAAGCCAGTTGTCTGTCCTTTTTCCATCCCCCAGATTAACTTTTTGCTACTTCCCAGACTACCATCCCCAGAATATGGTTCCGTTTTCCTTCTTCCACTCCACACAGTGCCCTGGGGATAAAGTTCAAGCTCCCCAGATGAGACTGAAGGGCCTTTGTCATTTAGATCATTACATATGCTCCACCCTCCCCCAAGACGGGCTGTCGCTCCAGGTGGACCAACCCCTCCATTCTTTCTCTAACCTGCTCTAGAGAGTCCTGCCCCTGTGCCTTTGCTCATCCTGCCACACTCACTGAACTGGAGGCAGCTAACAGCGGGTCTCACGTTTACTAGCCACGTGAGCTGGAGTAGATCCTTTACCTTCTTGAAACCTCTCATTCCTCCTTTGGAAAAGAAGCATCTGATCGACCTCACTGGGTTGCTGTGAGGCTAAATGAGATCACGCAGACAAGCCCCACCTTCTATGCAGGCAAGACAAGCGCTCCACGTGCATTAGCTGCTGTCGACAGCAAGGCCCTCCACTTCTTCTACAGCCATTCAACCCTAGCTGTTCCTCAAATGCTGCCTCCTCCAAGAAGCCTTCCCTACTTCAATCCACATTTACCTTTCCCCTTGTCTGAACCCTCATGGCATTTGTCACGTACAGAGACATCATCATCATCACTGACCCCATGGTGCCTTCTGCTATTTACAATTAAACAAAGGTGTGGCTATCATGCTAACTTGATTATTAGCTCCTTCAGAGTCTATGTCTTTTGAATACCTCACGGCCCAAATGCACGATGACTATTCAGTACCCAATATATTCTTGTTCAAACCGAAGTGAATCTCCATCAACTTAACATCCTCCCCAGAAGAACCATTCTCTGCTACCTGAACCTGGAGATTCGATCCACACTTCCTCTTCTAGATCATTCACAAACATGTAAAAAGACCCATCAAAGATGAGATCTCTAGGAAACCCCAATGTTTATAGTTTTCCATCTGGGAATGTATTCATTTATCTTTAGCTTTGTTTATGGTCTTTAAGCCAATTCCATATTCATGACAAAACAATCCTTAGTGACTCAATTTTTTAAAAACCATCTTTAGAGTGGGATTTTCTCACAGGTTTTTGAAAGTCAAATTAAATCGGGTTCTGTGGTTCCCTCTTATCCATATGCTTATTTATCTGCTCAAAGAACTCAAGGAGATTAGTGAGGCGTGCTTTCTTCATACTGACACCATGCTGCCTTCCCTCTAATAAGCCATGTTTACTTAAGTGTTCAGCAATTCAGCTTTATTATACATTCATTCAGTAAACATTAAATGCTTACTCCATGCAAGCTTCCACCAAATGGTCCCTTGTGATACAGAAAATACCTCAGCATATTAGTCTGATACCTTAAGTGAGAAGGAACTTAAATAACGCATGCTTTCATTTTTCAACTGTGAGAGCCCATCTCTGCTCACAAATCCAGGCTTGACTTACACGTGTCCCAGAACAGCCTGGTGCAGAATGGCTGTGATAGGGGAAGCTGGGTTTGGCTCTAGAATTTGCTGTGAGCTGTAAGCATCCCGTGAGGGACTGACGGAGCCGAGCAGCCGGAGGTGGAGTGACACCACAGGGAACTCGCTGACACACATCTGTACGGAGCAAATATTTGAATTCAAACTTGTTGAGTGAACTATTTTTTCCACCTCGAGAAGCCTGGGCTGAAGACACCATGACTCAGACCCGGGGTGGCAGTTCTGGTATCTCGCCTTCCCACTCGCCTTCCTTGAGGCCCTCACTTCCGCGTGGTGTCCCGGCCACGTCCTGCCCCTTCTCCACGTGGGCTCCGTGGGCCGCTATCACAGCCCTCAGCACTTCCTGAAGTACCTTCGTGGGCCTGCAACCACACCTCACCGTTAAACCCAAATCAATCTTCTCGCGTTTCTAGAACCTCAGTTGTCCCAGCACCTCAGGATCTGGGGTTTTTTATTTAGATATTTTTAACTAGCTCCCCTTTGCTATCGGGTACTCAACGAAGCCATGGGGCAGCCTTTTTTTTTTTTTAAGTATCTGTGGAAACTGGAGCTGGGCTCACGTGACTCCACAGAAATGGTCAGAACCAGCAGTGGGACTTCTTATTCCTGGCCTCCCCTCAGGGCCTGGAGTCGGGGAAGCTGTGGGAAGGTTGATAAGAGGTAGAGCGGTCTGTGGTTCGTGTTGGAGTGGTGTAGTTGGATGGGGGCATGGAGATAGTGTGGTCGATCACTAAGCTGCCGCCAGGAGCTCTATGTTCTGGTCCAAAATGACAGCATGGGGCGCGGGTCAGGCCGCAGGCCTGCCCACCCCCAGTCCTGCCGCTTGCGTGTGGAGCAGAGGTGAGAGGTGGTGGTAGTTGTATGTGTGTGGGGTGTGCGTTCCGGCCCTCAGGTCCTCACGGGCAACACAGGAAGACGGGGGTCTCCCGTCCAGGCACAGGTCCAGCCCCACCACTGCCTCACGAGAGTCGCACCTATAGCCACGTAATGGATTTGGTGAATGGTTTTATCCAGAATCATGGAGACCCAAGGGCCTGGGTTGCCGCAGCTGCTGCCTCTGCCCACACGCACGTGGGCATCATTGGTTTCCCTGTGAAACCACAAGCTTTGGCTGCTGGCAAAGATTATGAAAGTTCTGAGGCAAATGAGTCACTGAAAACCTCGTTACCCCCAGCATCTGCTGCAGTGCCCCGTTCCAGAGAACAGGAGCGTGTGGGCTCCTGACAGCTCATCAGCTTGGAAAGCTCTGACCAGGGCTCCAGGCGGAGCGGGCCAGCTGTGCTGGGGCCCTGGGGGCCTGCCTGCAGGGTCCACGGAGCTGGGGGCGGGGGGGCGCTCCACGGGTTTGCCGTCAAATGGGCCCCCCACACCTCCAACTGGTGACAGCTTTGGGAAACTTGCCTCTCTAGAATTTCTGATTCCCTTCCCCTTAAATAAAACGTCCAGTAAATGAAAACATTCAGGTTTTCAGATGTGAGCAGTAAGATTTACGTTGTGAGAATGTCAAACCCTGAGTGCTCTTTTCAGCTTTGTGGGTTTAAGTTTTAAATCCCAGGTAGTTGACGC